GATAAAGAAGTGTGGGGAGAGAAGAGAGAAGTGGCCAATAAAGAAGTGTAAACAGAAAACAAAGAAATATCTGATAAAGAGGCGCGAAGAGAGAGAGAAAAAATGTGACTAATGATAAAAGGCAACGAAGGGAAATAAAGAAATATCTGATAAACGTAAGTAAAGAGAAAAGGAAGAAGTGGTTGATAAAAAGACCCGAAGAGAAAAGAAAAAGAAAATGGTTGATGATAAAAGGGGAATGAGAAGAGAAGAAAAGATGGGAAAGGAAGATAAAGGGAAGAAGTGTGCTGATAAAGAGTGTGAAAAGGGAATATAAAAAGGAAATATATAAGTGTTTGATAAAGAGATTTGAAAAGAAAAGAAAAAGTGGCTGAGGATATAGAAGAAAGAGGACGATGAATGAATGAGTGATAATTGAAAGAAGAAAATATTTTGAAAAGAAAAGAAAGGAAAGTCTTATTAAAAAGTGCTGTTTAATGAAATAAAGTGCTACGAGTGGCGAAAAGTGGAATTAGACGGAAAAAGGTAAGTTGGGTCAGCCAGAACGGTGTGTGTGTGTGTGTGTGTGCAATTTTTTTTTCCACAATCCTCATTATTCTCACCATTATCTATCTATCTTCCTCTCCTATCCTTTATCAATCATATCCCTCATATGACCTTCATCGCAGTCCTCATTATTTTCACCATTATCTGTTTATCTTTCCCTCCTATCTTTTATCAATCACATCCCTCATATTGTCTTTACCCACAACACAATCTGGTATCTTTATCATTATCTATTTCTTTTCCTCTCCTATCTTTTATCAATCATTTCTTTTAAACTTTCTTTACACAATCTAAAAACAACGCACCTTACTATCTCTATTACTTCTTATTCATCTTCCTTTCCTACTCATTATCAGTCATTTCCCTTATTTCCCTTTTCCCCACAACGTAGTTTGCTATCCTTGTCATTATCTATTTATCTTCCTCTCCTATCCTTTATCGATTATATCCCTTAACTCTCTTTACCCAAGCTAAGCACAACGCAATTTATCATCACTATCACAAATATCATTTTCACCATTATATATTTTTCTTCCTCTCCTATCTTTTATCAGTCATATTTGTCATAGTCTTTTTACCCATCTTTCTTTTACTATCCTTTTTATCATTATCTGTTTATCTTCCCCTCCAAAATTTTATCAATCATATCCCTTAAATTCTCTCTACCCAATCTAAGGACAACTCAATTTATTATCTCGTTCACATCTTTATCATTTTCACCATTATCTATTACCTTCCCCTCCTATCTTTTATCAATCACATCCTCATATTGCCTTTACCCACAACGCAATCTGGTATTTTTATCCTTATTTATTTCTTTTCCCCCTTTACCCACAATGCAATCTGGTATCTTTATCATTATCTATTTCTTTTCCTCTCCTATCTTTTATCAATCATTTCTTTTAAACTTTCTTTACACAATCTAAGCACAACGTAACTTACAATCTTTATTACTTCTTATTCGTCTTCCTTTCCTACTCATTATCAGTCATTTCCCTTATTTCCCTTTTCCCCACAACGTAGTTTGCTATCCTTGTCATTATCTATTTATCTTCCTCTCCTATCCTTTATCGATCATATCCCTTAAACTCTCTTTACCCAAGCTAAGCACAACGCAATTTATCATCACTATCACAAATATCATTTTCACCATTATATATTTTTCTTCCTCTCCTATCTTTTATCAGTCATATTTGTCATAGTCTTTTTACCCATCTTTCTTTTACTATCCTTTTTATCATTATCTGTTTATCTTCCCCTCCAAAATTTTATCAATCATATCCCTTAAATTCTCTCTACCCAATCTAAGGACAACTCAATTTATTATCTCGTTCACAATCTTTATCATTTTCACCATTATCTATTTACCTTCCCCTCCTATCTTTTATCAATCACATCCCTCATATTGCCTTTACCCACAACGCAATCTGGTATCTTTATCCTTATTTATTTCTTTTCCCTTTCCTATCTTTTATCAGTCACATCTCTTATATTGTCTCTACCCACAACACAATCTGATATCTTCATCATTATCAATTTCTTTTCCCTTTCCTATCTTTTATCAATCACATCCCTCATGCTGTCTCTACCCACAACACAATCTGGTATCTTTATCATTATCCATTTCTTTTCCCTTTCCTACCTTTTATCAGTCGCATCCCTCATCTTCTCTTCAGTACTCGGCGCCGCGGCCTCGGGAGCGGAGGGTCGTCTCAGCCACCTTCCCCAAGTAGGCGTGGCGTGCGTGGGTCGTGACGTCATATTGAATTACCGCGAGGCCCGTGAGAGGCGGCGACGGCCAAACAGGATTTATTTATCTTTTGATTGATTTTTTTGTTCTTGTTGTTCGTGTAGTTTGTTCGTTTTGTTCTTGGGTTTGGATGTTTGGGTTAAGATTTTTGTATGTTTTTTTATTTTTGCTTTTAATTTATTTTTCTTTATTCTGTATTATCATTTTTAAATATAAATCATCTGCTGTGCATTTTTTATGAATGAGAATTGACAATACAGCGGGCGGACTTAATATACATCTTCGACAGAAAAAAAAGTATATATACGTATATACATAGAAATATACATACATATATATATATATATATATATATATATATATATATATATATATATATGTGTATATATATATATATATATATATATATATATATATATATATTATATAATGTGTGTGTGTGTGCATTTATTTATTCATTTCATTATTCTATGACGAAGATATAATCAAAACCAGTCAAATACATCTCTTGCATTGTTTTCTACACCTGTCGCAGTGAATACGGTTTGCCCTTTCTTTCATTAGACATCTTACAATCTTAACAATGAACCCGTGTCTGATATCACTGTCTTGAAACAACTTAATCTATTTTATTAATTTCGCACAAATTCCCTAACTCTATTTAATTTTATTTCCCCGAAGAAAACCACTTAATCGATAATCATTATCTTCCTGAGTTCTAATCTTATAATCTCTCTATAGGGATGTTTTTTTCTTCTTCTTCTAATCACTAATCAACCGAAAGGAACATACGATAACAAAAGAAAATCGTCAATAAAAAAAGGTACCGAGGCTACCCTTTTCCGCGACTCCAATGTCTCGAGCGTATCCAGAAAACCGTGTTATTTTTCCCGTCACCAATACTTCACAAAGAATAAAAAAGAAAATAAAAAAAGAAGAAGAAAAAAAGAAAAAAAAAAAGAAGAAAGAAGAAGAAGAAGAAGAAGAAAAACAGGAATCGGATAGTCTGTTATAACGGGGTCTTATCGCGTCCTCCACTCCAGCACTTCACAGCAACTATCGGAATGTTCACTATAACGGGTGTGATTGTCTCTACCAATATCAGCCCTTGTGAATGCAGGCCAGCTCTTAGTGGGGGAGGGGGGGGAGATGAGGGGATGGGGAATGAGGGGAGAGGGGTGAGGGGAGGAAGGAAGGGAAAGGGGAAAGGGGGCAATGGGTGGGGGTAATGACGGGGCAAAGGAATAAGGGGTGATGAGAGAGTAACGGGTTAAAGGGAAGGGGAGGATGAGGGAGTAAAGGAATAAGAAGTGTGTGGGGGGGGAGGAGGTGTGGGAAAGGGGGGTGAGGTTGGGGAGAAGGGTAGGGATGAAGGGGAAATAAGAGAGAAGGACTGAGGGTGATGAGGGAAGAAAAGGGAGGTGGTAAACCGAGAATAAAGGGGAGAGGGGTGAGGGTGATGAGGGGAAAGGGAGTAAGAACTAAGGATAATGGGCTAAGGGGATGAGATGGGGGGGGAGGTGAGGGGGGGGGAAAGGAGAAGGGGTGAAGTGAAGAGAGGGGGGTAAGGTAGGGAGAGGAGAGGGGGGGGGATGAGGTGGGGGGAAGAAGAGTATCTATCTCGGGAAAAGTTCCTCAGCTTCGGAAACTTTCGAAGCGCTTTATGAAGAAGGCAACAGAGATATTCTTAAACATATATCCTCCTTAGAGAGAAAATATAATAAATATGAAAAAAAAAGAAAATCAGAAATAAAGGAGAAAAATAAGATAAGATTTAATAGAAATAAAATCAAACCTCGACTTGATTTCAAATTTTACGCGAATACAAAATCCAGCAATAATTATGACGTCATCGCCTGATCTATTTTTGGAAAATCCGTGATCAGAGTGGAAGTCAATCTTAAAGAGTTAAAGTGGAGTTGGAGTAACGCTGGTGGAAGGGGAGTGGGGGGGGGGCGAGTTCGAGCTGAGGGGAAACTGAAGTAAAGTTATATTGTTAGAAAGGTAACACGCAGGATATTTTACAAAGGTGACTTAACATGAGAGGGTGGATGAGGTGACTTAAGGTAGAGTTAGGTGGATAGTGTGGATCAGATTAGCTAAAGTGGAGTTACGTTGCCATAGGATAAGTGTCATGAGGGTGTGAGTAGACATCAAATTAAATATATGCACTGTTTTATGAATATGATAATAATAATAATAATAATAATGATAATAATGATATTTTTTTTCTCTCAGTTTGACGTGAAAAAGGAAAATTTCATAATACATTATAATTCAAATGATACAAGACATGAATAGCAAAGGCAGACGTGTGAGCCGACATGAAACGTGAAATACGAAAGAACACTAAAGAAAGGGTCTAAGAGAGAGAGAGAGAAGAAGAAAAAAAATGAAAGAGAGAAAAAAAAAAATCAAAGGATATCCCCCCACATCGACCTCTCACCCCCCACCAACCCTACCCCTTCCCCCTCCAAAAAAAAAAAAGACCTGACATAACTACTCAAAAAGAGAAAGAGAGAGAAAAAAAGTCAAAATCCCTGACCCCCAACATCCACACACGACCCCCCCCTCCACACCCCTCTCCCCCCGGCTGACCCACCCGCCACATCCACACACAACCCCTCCCCCACCCTCCCCCCCGCTGCCCCCCCCGCCACGACACATCAGCTCGCATTCACCCCGACGACCGCCGTGTATTCAA